TCTTAGAAGATATTTTTCATTTGTAAGGATCACAGATATCAAAAGATACATTTATCTTTGAGATAAAAACATTTAAACAGATATTATTTCAACAATATATATTAATTTTTTTTATTATAAACACTTAATTTAATTTTTTATTTTCATCAAGCCGAAAGGTTTCGGCTGTCGTCACAATCTATTTATTTACTCCACGTGTCTTTTAATACGTTATTTATTTATTTTACTTTATTCTTTTTTGTTCAGAATAAATTTAATTAAATAAATTATGTAAATCATCGGATCCCTTCGAATTACTGTTTGGAAATCTTAAACCTCAAGAAATACGAATTAAAGACATAAAAAATGAAGATTAATCTGTAACCAATTGGGAGTCATACTTTTCGTAGTATAAGTCATGAACTCTTTCACGGCGTTGCCTCAATCCTTTGAAAGAAAATAAAACATAAAATAATACAAAAGATCTGCCGAAAATTCGAGAAAATTAATTACAAAAAACTGTAGTTCTATATATGTATTTTATTTGTCATTTATTAATATTTATAAATTGTGATGATAAACTATTACGAAAAAAGGTGTCTGTCTAATAATATTAAAACATTTATTAAAGCATTATATTTGTCGTTTCATACAAATTTTTACTTCGAATTCGTTTGTTCCTATGTAGCTATATACATATTAATAAGATATAATACTAATCCATTTGCCAGACTTCTTTTTTTTTTTAAGCTTATCAATGTAGACAACTTGCCTTAATGATGACTAAGTGGCCTATGCTCTTCATCCTTATTAATACCCATTATCAGTACTTGATGTAAATTTATCCGGTTAATTATTAAATTTTCAAAAAAATATCATGAATTTCTGTCAGAAAATGTTAATGACATCAGCATTAACTATTCCATTTTTTTTTTTATTAATATTAATATTTCTCATTTCTTTCTTTTTTTATGGTTTTCTGTTTTATTGACAAAAAATTTAATCACTAGAATTCAGATTTAAAAATTACTTATATTTGTGATGTTTTTTTTAATCAAATCTTTAAAATATCTTACATTTTAATAATTCAATCAAGATATTTTAATTTTCAAATGGGTGAAATAATTTCATAAAAATTTATTTACCACAGCTCGATATTTGCATACATTTATTTAAATTTCACAATCAAGAAATAGAATAAATATTTATTTACTATAGCCGGAAACTAAGCTAACCCATTCACCTACAAGTCCAAATACACGGCATTCTCAACTAACTTAATTCATTGGCGGATCCAAAAATGTTATGAGGGGGCGTACTTAGAACTAAGTGAATTCCAAAATTGAATGTCAAACGCATACGGATCGTCAACCAGAACACCACCATGAATACGTCAGAGGGAGTTCACAGATCCGGGAAGTAGCCCTAGGCTCACAACCATACAGCAAGACTGGAGGCACTAATAATATCTTATAACTCAAAGACATATCTTTGATCTTCTGGGGAGAGCTCTACTTCGGAACTGCCTTGCCATAGAAAAATAGCATCGATTTGCTGCTATGATCCTACGTCTCGAGTTACCAATGAGCGGAGATGTACAAAAATATTAGTCTTCTCGAATTGGTACTTTCCGAAGGTCAACTCCTCTCCATACCTAGGCACCTCTCCTGTAACCATATATTTTGTTTTGGCAGCGTTGACTTCTAAACCAAGTCTTCTTACAGGACCCGCCAGAGCAAGGAAAGCGTCCGATACAGCCAGGAAGGACAAACCTACGGTGTCTATATCAACCACTACGCAATGAGCTGTACAGACCTATTAAAGATGTTACTTTTGGTCAGTATGCCAGCATCTCTTACTGCTTTCTTGAGCTCAAACTCAAAGAAAACCCAGACTAGGCGTCTCCCTAGCGCAATCCTTTTCCTGAGAGTTATTCTTCCGACCGTGCTCCATCTATTTGAACCATACAGCTAACGTTGTTAATTCTAAGCTTCACAAGACTTATGAACTTGCTAGAGATCGTAAAATGTTATAGAGCCTGTTACAATTATTCCCCATTCACGCTATCATAAACTGCTCTAAAATCAATGAAGAGGTGTTGAATTTTTATGTTGAATTCCCTTCCTCACTCCAGGATCGTCCTTGGGCAGAATATTTGATCGATCATAGACTTGCCTCTGAATCCACACTGGTACCAGCCGAAAACCCTTTCCACATGGGGTAGCAAATGTTTGAAGAGTATATTTGAGAGGACTTTGTATCCAGCAGATAGGAGGGAGATCCCTCTGTAGCTAGAGCATGTTTAGTCAATCGTTCCTCTTAAATATAGGACTGCTGAGCGACTTAGTCCACAGATCTGGTAGAACTTCGTCCGTCCAAACTGTGATGAGGAGTTCATGCATATCTTTAAACAGTTCGTTCCCACCACTCCTGATGAGTTCTGCTGGGAGTCCATTAGCACCCGAAGCCTTGTTACATTTCAATTGGTTGATGGCATCGAGGATCTTATCTTCGAATGGTGGCTCTTCAGGACATTTAGTTCTACTAATTAAAGCACTGTATAGACTGCATGGTGACCGGCAATATAGTTATTCTCGAGGCGACTTCCCATTTCTAGTACCTATCTTGAGTGACGTTAGTTAGCTTTTATTACTTAGTGCAAGCACCTTAAGCCCACTAGACTTATAATATGAGTAAAAAGTATAAATCAAAATTAAATAAATTAATACAATTAATTTTATAATTAAAATAATAATAATAATAAAAGCGCCGGAATCGTAACTACTTTTTGCAACATAAAATCTTTATCGAAATTTATAAAAATATTGATATTTTCCTCTCGATGTTCGACATTTTATCATCGATAGTATCTCTACTTCGATATTATCGACTATCGACATCGTCCTTTCTATATTTTAATTTTAAAATTAATATTAAACTAACGTTTCCGGAAGGCGCCAGGAATTATATAAGAATTGGATCGTTAGATAAAAAAATATATTCATCTTGTTAACTCATATTTCTATCAAATTTTGAATCTGATAGAAAAATAGATTTTTCACTACCAATACCGGTTCCGTAACAAGATTTAACCGCTTCTTAGAAACTGTTTCATGAGAATGAAACCACAATCTTTACTGATAAGAAATTGATAGTTATCTTCTGTTCCCAATAATACTGTCAAAAGTCAAACAGTTCATTGCCGCTTTTAATTTCTGTATACATGTATTTTTTTCTATTACGTTGGATACTTTTCGGTTATCTTAATATTTTTATCTAAAAGCCAAAAATTAGTTATCTTTTTTAATATATAAATTCAGTTTAACTTGTTTTATTATTATCTGTCATGATTTATTAAATATGAAATGTAATAGTTCATTTTCTTTATTATTATTTTAAAAAAACGCCTCTTGGGATCGAATCAAAGCCGCTCACTCTCTCGCTAGAACTATTAGCGCTTTTATGGAAAGCTGTTAATACTTCACGATTTGCAGAAATAAAACATAGCTTTTAAGATTAATATGACCGCCTTTAAAAAAAAAAATAAAAATAATTTGCTCAGAAAAGATGGAAATCTGTCCGATTGTTATATTTACAAATATGTATATACATATGTTTTTACGAAGTATCGTTTACACAAATGAACCACATTGAAAATTAAAGAAATGTAGGAAAAAATATCATTTAAAGTAATTTGTAGCTAAAGATTTGTCAGCATAAATAAGTTGATTTTTTTAAAGAATATGTTACATGTAATTTACATGTTCTTTACAATAAATTTACTAGGTACTTCATCAAACAAACATTAATAATACTATTTATTTTTAAATAGTATAAAAACACATTTACTACTACTAAAACGATATACAAAATTTCCTAATGTAAAAAAATGCAACAGTCGATTTGGGAGAATCTAAAAGATTAAGCAAAATCCGTCGCTGGTTTGTGAGATCCGAGACTGAGGTAACAGTTGTCAGAGAATATAAGCAGCGGTACCCATCCCCCCCCCCCCGAGGTCGATTGCGCATGAACCTCCCCTCTCCACCTCCTCCCAAGATACTCTATTGCTTTCTTCTTCTTAAATAAAATTAAAACAGAATTTAAAAATTATAAATCATAAACAATTACACTTAATGTGGCCAGTTCCACGTTTTCCCATCGTTCCCTGTTTTGAAACTTTTCATTCCAAAAATTCATGACCTTGTCAAAATGTGCATCCCTCAAAAAATTATAGCCTTGTCCAAATGTACATAGCCCCCTCAAAAATTTTGATGACGCAACTTGCGCCATCAAACCCTCCCTCTGGGCACTCCTGATGATAAATCATTTTGACGTTTATAAAGAACAAAAGAAAAGCTCATAATGTTGTGAACAGTTGTAATAAATCCAGCGAAACGAAAGCTAAATAATCTATGAGACGTCAACACAAGGGCGTGGATATGATATACCTTTTAACTTTATTAGGTATCAAAGTGTACCATCCAAGATAAAATCAGCTGTAGATATCGGCTTATCTTGGAAGCAATAACTGTTGTCAAAGGATTCCACTGGTTCATTAACGTTGCCCCTTGGCTTCTGATTGTTTATTTGACCTTTTATTTCAGTGCTAATGTGGTTTGTTTACAAGAGAGGATTAATGAATCCAAAAAATATCTTAATTTATGTAATTATTTGATGAAGTTTATGATTCTTTCAATGTTTTGAACTCTATTACTTAAAGTTTTGAACTCTATAATTAATTTTTGTTCAGAAATTAATATATGATAATTGTTCTTATCTGTAAGATGAAGAGATATCTTAATTAATTTACTATAAAAAAATCTCTAACAAATATTTATTTTTTTGGAAAAAGAAAATTATAATTATAAATTCTATCTTATTGCTTGATAATAAATATTTAAATTAAATAGAGAATGTAATTTATAAAATAATAGATAAAATACAAAACCGAAAAATATATTTTATAATCATTTTTCCCCATAAATAGGTACCTCCTATAAATATCTTCTTTCTTTTTTCAGTTTGTACGTTACTGTCGCTTCTATTCATTGGAAGTTTCAGTGGAGCTTGCCTGATGTGGTTCACAGAAATATATTACGACGAGATAATTAATGTAAGTAGATAAATATTTTTAACAAATATTATTCCTAAATTATAGTCTGAACTTTTGAAAGACATTTCATCATTTAACATTAAAACAATGGGTGGCATTATGGTCAATTATTATAAACATTTGAAAATTAGTCCAAGAAAAGAGTAGGAGAGCTATGGGAAATAACATGTTGGTACAAAGGGTGTGATTTTTCAAACGTAGTTTTTGGGGGTTTCACAAAAATATGGAAAGACAGCTTTTCGGTTTTAATATTAGTAAAACACTTTCTCTAGGTATAGTTCACTAACAAAAAAGAAATAATAGAAAGAAAAGAGATTTATAATGTGTGTGTTTATTACCGACCTGAGAGATAAAAATTGTTTTATCAGATTATTTCTCTAAATAAAACAAAACCTTAACTTTTTATAAAAGGAGGTTGTTGTTTTCCCTTTTCTTTCACAAAAATAGATGGTAATTGTTGAAAAGAAAATAAGTTTATTTTTCGGAAGCGAGGATTTGACCAGACAGACGATTGTGAGAGGTCTTGTTCTCTTTCCTGTTATTCTGCTAACATATATAATAATAAAAGTCGTTATATAATAATAGTATAAATCGTTTTATTAGTGCCATGTAATTAATAATGCAAGTCCCATAAAATGGAAGTTTGTGTACTGTGTGTACGTTTTCAGTCTAGCTCAAAAACGAAAAGTCGTACCGAACTGAAAATACATATTTAATGTATGCTACCTGATGTTGCAGCAAATTTTTCCTGAAAATTGAAAAAAAACCGGAAATGCCACTTTGTATCATCAAATTTACACTTTTTTTTCAAAATATATATTGCTTTATTTCACTTTAAATCATATGTTATATTAAAACTGATCCCGTATAGACTATTTTGAGATAAATATATGTTGGAGAAATATTAAATCAATTTAAGCTGTGATTATATTAATTAATTATGTAAACTAATTATACGAATTAAGAGATGAATTCACAAAAAGCATTGGACATCTTAAGTGTCATTGCTCATTCAAGCTAGGATTGCGATAGACAAACTGTTATCAAAATATACGATATTGTAATAAGGAGTAAAATTGAATATGGATACCAAATATATGGAACAGTCAACAAAACGTTGATAAAAACGCTAGATTTCATCCAAAATTCCACTGTTAATTCTAACGGTATAGGAGCTTTCGGGACTTCTCCAACCGAAAGTACATAAACCGAATCTGAGGCACTATCTTAAAAGATATATTTATCAACAAAATATACAACAAAATTGAAAGCACATCCACAACATCAATTAGGCACAAAACTTTTCATTAAGGAATTAGAAAAGATTAAACAGATGACTTATAAAACATTATATAATATGAACATGAATCTGAACACAGTTACACTAATTCCTGATCAAATAATTACTTAGTAGAAAAAAAATTATTAGAAACTTGAGAGAAACAAACAGAAAATAAAACGATTTAAACTATTAGAAATATAACGTAGTGCAACATATGGACTACAAGCTCCAGGAAATCAAGAAGGGAAGAAACCATATTGTACCGAATACGGATTGGCCTGTCACTCTGTTCCAATACATAGTGGAAACCAAGTACTAAAATAGACCCTATACCATAGAGACGGATGTAAATAAATTTAAAAAAAGTTTATTAAATATAAATATACCCGGATAAAAAATATCTATGTATTGTTCTTAACACAAAGATTGAAAAACGCAGAGTTTGTCTACAGCACAGTAAAATTAGTGAGCAGCAGTTCTAAGGGAAACCTTCCGTTCTAGCCCTGAAGAAGACTTGCAAAGTCGGGTCGAAACGTCGGCTTTCAATAAAATAGTTTTACCACTATTTAGCATATTTATGACCGCAACCCCGGACCATCTCCTTCCTTTAAAATTAGTGAGATATGAACAAAGAACCATTTTCTCCTGCTTTTGTTAAAAGTCTGTTGTAAATCTTTGAATAATATTTGTTAAAGAAATAGGTAAAAAATTTAAAGGTTAAAGACCGAATGAGACGAATATTCATGGCAAACAAAACAATGTTATCTTTGCCCCATGTTTCCGCAGTTCACTGTTCATACTTGACATTAGTGATATACTGTTTATTCTCAAATAATAATCTTCTATTTTTATCTGTTGGAATTGTTTATATTTTCATTTTCGCTCATGCATTGTTCTAAACGTTTTATATAAAAAACAAATTAAATATGTTAACACATCACAATAAATGATGTATTAATATGTTATAATTTTTTTTTATAACTAAAAGGAAAAGATTATATCTCAGAAGAAGTTAGTCGGAGGTGCGGTAAAAATACTATATTATATAATATTATATATATTTATTTTTGCGCTACGGTCCTGTAAGAATCTGGGCCTCTCTTATAATCCTTCGCCACTCTCCTCTATCTTGAGCGAGCATTCTCCATCTTCGAATTCCCATCCTTTTCAGGCTGTCCTCTACCTGGTCCAGCCATCTCAGGCGTGGTCTTCCTCTTCCACTTTTTCCAGCAGGCCGATCCTCTAGCAAGCGTTTGGGAATCACGTCTCGGGGCATACGCGCTACATGGCGCAACCCTCTGATCTGGTTTCCCCTCACAATTGAGACCAAATCCGGCCTCGCATACATTTCATATAGTTCTTTATCAGTGTGAATTCTCCATTGTCCCTGTTGGCACACCGAGCCATAGATCCTGCGGAGAACCCTTCTCTCCCACCATGCGAGTAGCCTTTTCTCTGATGCTTTGGAGATCACCCAATATTATATTACTATATAATATTATGGTAATAAATATATTTATTATATATATTTTATAGGATGATATATATATATATATATATATATATATATATATATATATATATATATATATATATATATATATATATATATATATTTATTTATTTATTACGTTGTCCAACGTTTCGACCTACGTTGTTACTTCTTCAGAGTATTCCGTCCTGGCACTGCTGGCTGAAAGCAGTACGGCTACTTTTAAGAATATTATTGTCATTAGTTAAAAATAAAAACTTATAAAATATAAATATATACTTGTTTATGAAATTCAATTTTTAAGCATGAATAATTTTTCAGCCCGAAAGTGAATCTAAATGATCAGGATGAGTTAAGAATTTAACTTAACGATGCCTTAAAACTCCTCCTGTACTTAATCATTAAAATCAACAACACTTGGTAAAATGTTCACTACTACTTATCAGATTAATGCCAAAAATAAAAACATACATACTACAAATTCGGCATTGGCTCAATAATATGTCGATACACATAGATCGTGTATGGACCCTTTAGAGGCTTTGTGTTAGGAATATTTAGAAATGACATTAAAATAAGTTGTAACTTGACAAATGCTATATTCAATGATATTGGAATAAAATTTACAATAAGAATAATCCTTTTTAAATATTTGTATTCCATATATTAGAGGCTTAGCAAAAATACTGATGTATAGTTCATATATTAAATTAAAGCCTTCCAGATATTCTGCATTTAATCATTGAAATATTTAATCGCTTGTTGGTGCATTGAAAATATAGAAAGTAGGAAGTTTTTAGTGAATAAATAAAAAGAAACAATTCTTGTGAACTAATTCTCCAAGTGGTCCCATCTTATCTTGATACACTCGAAACGCCACGAGCTTTATTGAGGGCTCTCAAACGTAAAAAATATTGGTCTACGTTACCAACGTGCTTTTCCAATAATTTTACCATCATTATATAATATATATGTACTAAAACAGGATTTGCTAACAAATCTTGAGGGTCATTTCAATCAGTAAATAAATAAATAACATATATGTATATAGAGTAGAATAAACAATCTGGTGCACGCAATACACAACTTTCATTTACCGCTCTTCTTTGAATAGAAATTATTTTCTGGCAATGATGGGCTATTATAAAATTTTTGAATTGCATTTTAAACGGAGCTAAATCTTAAAGCTTACAGATAACAAAAAATTAAGACCATTAAAATTACAAAACGTCTATTTATGATATCGACGGTGGTAGGCAATAAAAATCTAGTTACTCCATCTTCTTTTATAAACCACATAACTTCCGTCTCTGAGCCTTTCAGTTGACAGAATGACTAACTCTAATTTCAAAATTTTTGAGTATTGCCGGTTGCTCCACCCTAAGGTCTGCACTGGAGAGGTCTCCAACATTTAGAAACACATCACCAACCATGAAGAAAAGAAGTCAGCTACGTGGTTTACTATTGGTGGCGAAAATTCCACTCCAGGTTTTCTCCAGCATACCGCCTCCTTCCGAAACCAAACTTTTCATATTTTGACCGATTAGCCCATAAAAATTTGTTCCATTCTACGCCGTCAAATTTTCGTGTTCTTTGGCTAGCTTAAGTCGCTTTCGCTCGTTTAAAATCTTTAAATACAAATGGTAGAACCTTTCTTCTGACTAAGAAGGAAGAAACTTGAATCCTGTAGTATCGGCAGTGGATGTGGATGACATAGCAGTGAAATTTAAACAAGAACGTAGCATTATCAAGGGATGAAATAACGTTAACATAATGGATAGGTGGTCCCTTGGTTTGTTATTAATTAAAAATAATGCTAATTTAAATATCTATTACATATTTAAATATACATAGCTGCAAGGTTGAATCGGATACTTTTCACACTACTGTATGTATGTATGGATATGTATATACACAGGATGTCGCGTAAGTAGAGGGAAATTTTTAGGAGATTGATAGTAGACATCAAGAAATACAAAAAAGTTCATGTAAACTGTTTCCCAATTTCCAGTAGAAAAGTAGGAAATTAAAGTTTTGTTTTTTAAAGCTAGTCACGTTTTTTTTGTTGAATAGGAAACGATAATTAAAAAAATAATTAATTTAAGTACTTACCAATGGCGTCACAATAAATTTAACAAAATTTACTTTAAATGAAAATAGATTTTGTCATTGTTAAAACCATTTAAAGAGATCATTTGATCGACTAAACTAAGCTAAGTTCCGTTC